GGTTGCTCTTGGCCTGGTGGTTACATGAGTCGAATCTTCCTTGGCTGGCAGCACAGTTTGAATCTTAGACTTGGAGGCTTGAAAGATGTGCTGGGGGCATGTGTATGCATGCCCAAAATCGCAAAAGGAGGGAGAAATGGGGAAGGGATTGCAGCACGTCCCCACAGTTCTCCACACACATGTCGTTTCACTTCCCATCACTCTCTCTCTAGTGAGGGCACATGTTCTCTGAGAAAAAAAAAAAAAAAGACTTTTTAAAAAACCATTTACGTTTCTTCCAAATCTTTCTATTGTAAAAATTTCACGGGTTGATTATAAATAAAGGGAGATTGACCTGCCGAAACATGACTTGAGCTGTTAATAAGGCCAGCCTTGGTGTCCTCCTTTACAGAATGATAATAAAATCATGAAATTTACGGTGAATATTAAGTGAGACTCATTGTAGATAGCTACTGTATCAGAGTGTAAAGGATATAAAATGTTAGGCTTTTACTTCTTTTACTTATTATTTGTTTTTCCCTCCTCATTAATCCCTCAATCTTTCATTCTAAAACTCGGAGACAAGGACAGATACACTGAGCCGAAGAAGCTAATGGATGTAGCTTTTGGAAACAGATCATCTGTGGGAGCCCAATTGGGTAGGCAGGTAGAGCCAATTAGAACCAGCGTTAGGAAGCAAGTCTTGACACAAGTCTGATATTACTTATCAGGTAGTTTTTGAAGCAAGCAGCAGACTTGGGGTTGGTTCGGCCACTGGATAAAGACAGAATTGAGGACCCAGTTTCTATTATTTGAGCAAAACACAGGGGTTTTATGATGCTATAAATCCTGCTTGGCATGTGGCCAGAATTAGTTCACTTAATGTATTTTGAAATACCTAATGTTTTCTGAGTATGCAGAGAATGTACTGTTCATTTGGGGTACAAGAGCATGCAAGATTGACAACACCCCTTCCTTGTTACAACTAGCATTGAACTTGTTCAGAAGATACAAAAGGAAAATTACAAAAATGTGGGGTGAAAATTTCGAGACATATATTACTGACCAGTATGTTTTCTTTCTTTTAACCTTATAATTCCATGAAGTTTGAATGTGTCTCCCTGTCCCCAGGATTTACACATTAATATTGCTTTATATAGGTGCATGTTACTTATTCTCTGGGACTAGTGAGATCGCTCTAGGTTAATCTGGGCAGACCAGGGAGCCCTCGGACTTCCAGCTGCTCTCTTTCTTTTTATACTGAAAAAGCTGGTCTGATAATGGATCCAGTATACAGGAAGAAGCAGAGAGCGAGGGACAGTAATAAGGCTGACATTCTCATTTAAGCCCCTGGATCCAGCAATGTCTGAAGCCAACAGAACTCCAGGATATGCCTTCTAAATCATTAATGGTTGGACTGGGTTTCTGTCTTACGCAGAAGAAGAATCCTAGGTTATCAGTCAATCCTTGAGGCATGCAGACAGCTGTAATACAAAGCTGACCAAGGAGGACTCTGGAGACTTCCTGGATCAACCAGGAGCTGCTCCGGCACTGCCACTCCTCTCTACCTCCGCACCCGTGGCCACTACCAGGTGGAGGATGGAACACGCTCCACCACTCCCATGTCCTCTAGCCACTGTCATTTCTTCCTGGAGGAAAACAGCCCACCCTGTGAATCAGATAATGCAGGTTAAGTCCTTGGCGTAATGCCTGACTTCAAGGAAGCCAGTCACAAAGATGAACTATTATTATTAAATAATGATTAAATGAAATGACTTAGAAAGTTCCAAAGCAATATTCTAAAGTAAAGGCTGAGTGCAAAGAAATTTTTTTACGTCTACTCAATGTTTTCAAGTGCCTTTCGTAGGACAGACCCGGTTTTTGGCATTGCTGAAACAGCGGTAGTTACACTTCTGGAAGGTTCGCATACATGGAAGGAATAAATAAGCCAGAAAGTCAAAGACATCATCTCTGTCCTTACAGATTTTATACCCTACTGGGAGAGAGAGACGAGAGAAAGTTAACAAATAAAATGTGACATAATTTCAAAGAGATGTAAATGCTCTGAAGAAAAGTAATCATAGTAAAAGGATTGAGAGTGATAAGGGGTCTCTTTGGGGGTGAGAGTCTCTGAGAGTATGGAATCTCAGAACGAGGCAAAGAGTAGAGTGAGCTTTATGAAGATTAGCATCACAAGAATCTATAGAACCTTGGTTGGACATGTGTGTGTGTGTGCCCAGGAGCCCAGGAGGAGAATGGAGGAGAAGGGATTCCAGTGTGCCCACCTGCCTTGGGGTGATTTCTCACTTTCCTTCATACTGTCTCTCTTTCTCTCTCTGGCGAGCACACGTGCCTTGTGGAAAAAAAATCCAAAAAAATCAAAAAAGAATTCACAGAACCTACAGGAAATGCAAAGATCTTGAGAATGGACAAATCTTGACACAGGGTAAGGACTCTAGAGGCCAGGACATCAGAAGAATGAGGGCCAGGACAGCTCAAGAAGAAGAAGCGGTTAAAGGCAAGCAAGGGCTTGAGCACACAGAACATTTTGAAAAATGGTAAAGAGCTTGGAATTTATAAAGGTAACAAAATGCTGTTGGAGAATTATAAAATATAATTTATATCTGCTAATTGTAGTTTTTTGCTAGGGTTGCCATGATAAAGCGCCACATACCAACTGGTTACGCAGCAGAAATTTACTGCCTCAGTGCTGAAGGCAAGGCCTCTTTCCTTAGCTGCTTCTCCCTATATCTTCACATGGTCTTCCCTCTGTGGATATCCATGTGTGCATCCCAAATTCTACTTCCTACAAGGACACTAGTCATACTGGACTAGGGTCCACAGTGAAGATGTCATTTCACCTTATCGTCTCTTCAAAGCACTGATCTCCACATACAGTCCCGTTCAGAAGCACTGGGGTTAGTACTTCAGCCCCCAGACTTGGGGGCTATTCGATTTAGCCCAAATCAGCTACTCTCAGGAGACTGTATGGAAGAGGCAGCGGTGAGTAAAATAGGGAGGTCATTTGGGAAGCTATTTCTACTGTGTAGTTCAGAAATAATAAAAGCTTGGATTAAGTTGGTAGCAAAAGAGAAGACAAAAGGTAGTCAAATCTGGGCTACATTTTGAAGGTTAAGCTGATGAAACTTGCAAATAGTTTAAGAGTATAATGCAAGGAACAGAGAAGAGTAATGGAATAAGCTATGTTGGTATTTACCAGGAGTGGGAACAATAGTGGAGAAGCTTTGAAAAATATCAAGGTTTTTTTTTTTGTACATGGTAAGGCCATCATGCTTATTAGAGTTCAAGGAGAGATGTGGAACTTGGAGCCAAGTGAAAGACCAAGTTCTTTAGCACACGGTAGGCCTTTAAAGCATAGGATTTTTTAAAAAATAATTATTTTATTTAACTTTATTTATTTATATACTGACTTTTTTTTTTTATTCGACTAGAGAGGGGGCGAGAGAGAGGTGGAGAGAGAGAGGGAGAGAGAGAGAGACAGAGAAAGTGAGCCTCCAGGTCCAGGACTTGAATATTGGTTGGCCATGTGGGAGTCCAGCATTCCTAACCATCATACCATCTGCCAGCCCCAAAAGCTATAGGCCTTTTTTTTTTTTTTTTCATTTTCTTTTATACATTCAATCACATTATTATTTGGCTTACAAAATGGATATTTCAACAGCTGAACATTTCTCCCTAGTACAGTTGATAAAACTACAAAATGTCTTCAACAGATAATACCACATTTCTTTGTGCTATTAATGCTTTGCCTCCCTATTTTTCTTCTAAATGTTCTTCTTCAGACCCTCCTCTTGCACAGGAAGAAGTCTAGATGAAAAGAAAGGCTGGCCCCAGAACTGGGTAAAACTCTACTATTTCAAGGGAGGAACTGAGGAGAGAACCAAGCAAAGGGGACAGAGAAGTAACCCGTGAGGAAAGCAAGAGCTCATGGAGTCCCTGACTCCATGTGGAGAATATTTTACAGAAAGAATGTTTAAGTGTGGCATATGCTGCTAAGGCTGAATGCAGGGAGAGCTGGAAACATGACCTTTGGATTTGGCAAAATGGAGATTATTAGTGACCTTTTCATCCACAGCTTCATAACAGTGGTGGTGTAAAAAAGGGAAACTAGGAAGTAGAAAATGAATTCAGGAAATAAACTTGCCATAAACCTTTGCTATAAAACAAAGCACAGAAGTAGGGTAATGATTAGAGGAGGTCGTGAGTGGCAGAATTTAGAAACTATTTCACTTTATTTTTATTTTTTAAGAATTATTGATTTAATTTTATTATTATTATTATTAATTTGCTACAAGGTACGTGTATGATAGAGAGAGAGAATGTGATAAAGTAAGCTTCCAGGCCTAGGACTTGAACCACAGTTGACCATGTGGGAGTCTAGCACCTTAACCACCATGCCCCCTACTGGCCCAGTATTTCACTTTTTAAGGTGGTAGATATTATAACATGTTAATAATTCAGTAAAAAAGAATAGATTCTGAAGAAGTCAGAAAACAATTTCAGAGGAAAAAAACAAAAACAAAAACAAAAACAAGCCTTGAACAGCAAAAGCAAATGGAATCCAGTGTAGCAGAGATCAACTTAGCCTTCGATCAGATCAAAGATAGCTCATCTCCTCATCTTCTGATGAAGGTATAGGATGTAAAAATGTGGATGACTTCATGTGAGCCAAATCTTACTCTTATCCCTGGGTCTGCGTGAACACACAGATATGTCCACTTCTTATTATCCAAGTATAAGTATTAATATGAATAGGGCCTCCTTAATTCTGCAGCCCTGACCACAGAACTCATAACAAATAGAATTAGAAATGTGTTGTGTTATACAAGAATTAGTACTTAGGAAATTACTGACTTAACTTTGCTTAGCCAAAGTTCCCACCAGGTTTTTTTATTTTTATTTTTTATTCTTGCTAAATATGCTTTATTTTAGCTAGTAAACTTCCTGGTAGGTTTGCATTCACTGGAAAAGTTAATGGAAGTTTATCAATGCATGCCTCCTATTTGATGCCGATGTTATCAAAGGTCTCCTGCAAACTCCAGATGATGCAACGACTGGCCAGGGCTACCTGTGGAAAATCCCCTGAATAAAGAGAAAAAGAAGAAGAACATGAAAAACAGGTTTCACTGAATGGCCTTCCTGGAAACCCAGTTGTTGGGAAGTTAGGTTGGTAATTACTAAGCATGTTCTTCTGAAAAGAACTCAGATTAAAGCCAGTGTGTGGACAGCAACCCCAACCTCTAAGACCTGTGGGTCATGACTAAACCTCTCTGAGAAGCAACTCTCCATTGGTAAACAGCCCTCAGGGAGAGGCAGCTGTAAGTTCAAAACATCCACAAGTAGAAGTCTGGACCTACTACAGGTACTCAATAAAAGTCTATTTGATTGAATATATCTTTTCGTGTGTAAGTTAATTAAATGTATTGACCCATTGCCAAATGGATTGATAAAGTGAACTTCAGCAGGCAGTTCCCGAATTTTAGGTACTTTACGTGTGCTGCGTTAGTCATAAAATTGTCCCTTTCCTCCAAGTGTTCATCATATTCCAAGTGATAAGGTAATGACTAGGAAGTAACTACATGTTCACTGGTAATCATGCTACGTGCTGGCAGAACCAGAGCCATCCTTCATCGCATTTACCTGGTGATAGACAATCAAGATAGCTATGGCAATAGCCTACAGGAGACTGCGCTATTTCTACAGTCTGTGCTCTTTCTTGGCTTTTGTTTCTAGTTTTGCATTGTTTTGTTTTGTTTTATGGGAAAGCGCCTACTAAGTTGCTATAGTAATCGGTATGAGACAGGTCTCTTCCTTCGTGGGAATAACATAGCTAAGAATCTTAGTCCTGAGGCCAGCAGGTGGCATGCTGATTAAGGACCTGGGTTCCCACATGGCTGGCTCTGCGGTTTGAGTGCTGGATCCAATGTCTTGAAAATCACAACGGGGGAACCAGCAGTTGGCATAATGGCTATCTCACTGGACTCTCATGTATTCAACCACGGTTCAAGTTCCAGACCCGGCGGTTTAAACTCAAGGCAGGCGCATGTGCCTGTGTGCCCAAGATCCCAAAAGGAGAATGGAAGAGAAGGGATTGCAGTGTGGCCATCCCCCTAGAAGATGATTTCTCATTGCTTTCTGTCTCTCTGTCTCTCTCTGTCTTTCTGGCTAGCGCATGCACTCTATAGCAAAAGTCTCTCCAAAAAAAAAGAGAGAGAGAAAAGAAAAAAATCACAACGGGCACTTGTGTGTGGGGTCCAAAATCCTAAGAGAAAAATGGAGGAGAAAGGATTGTGACATGACCATTCCCCCCAGAAAGGTGATTGCTCACCTTCTCTCTCTCTGTTTCTCTCTGGGAAGCTCACATCCTCTATGGCAGAAATCAAAAAGAAATAAATAAGTAAAATGTTCTTAAGAAAAACAAAGAATCTTAACACATACATTTATTAAGCTGTTCCACACTCTTCCGGCTGTTGAGGTTCAGTAGGCCATAAGAGAAGCAAGACCTATCCTTCCCAGGTCTTACATGCTAACGGAGAATGTAGACTACATGAAATACTACATATGAGAGTACATCAAAAACTTCATAGAAAAGTAGAATGTGCAAGTTTATGTTGGCGAAAACAATTTTTAAATCCATGCATTTATTTTTCATTCTACCCATTTTCCAGAAGTGTTTCGAAGATGCCTCATTGATATAATTTATATACTGAAATATATATCATAAAACTAATAAGAATTATAGAAGTGGGTTTTAGTGTGGTTTGTATAATCCAAAATCCATAGTCTTTCCACTATACCAAAGGTTGGCAGGCTATCATCCACAGGTTGTATCTATAGAGAGAGACCACATGACTCACAAAGTCAAAAATATTTTCTATACATCTCTTTACAGTAAAATGCTCCTATCTCCTGTGTCATATTCTATGCTGGGCAAAGTACAACCATAGTGTTACCACCAGCTGTACCAGTGAGGTCAGTTATGGTTGTAACTGAACATTTAAAATGAGGACAATTATATACTCTCAAAAAAACCAGAAATAATTGGCAGTGTAGGAATGCCAAGATGAGTAAATTTAGCAGCCAAATGTCACGACTGAAACATGGATTCTTTCTTTCTATTCTGACATCTTTGGTTTTCATCGTCCCAGGGTGGCTGTCCCAGTTCTAAATGTCAAATGGAATGATAATTTCTGAATTGGAAAAAACAAACATCCGAGTCTTTTGTCCCATTTTAAGAAAAAGACAACCTTCCCAGACCCTCCCAGTAGATCACCCTTTGATGTGTGATTAGCCAAAACTGTATAACACTCTCGTTTTCAACCCCATCACTTACCAGGATGACAAGATCAATCCTGATTCACTCTCTGAGGATGGTGAAAGATCTCTTTGCCCTGTCACAGGAAACTATCTCCTCGCTGATAAAAACTGAGAGTCTGTTAGCCATGAGAATACGAACAGTCAAGGACACATAATATCTGCCTAATCAACTGAAATAATGAATCACAGCCATTTTCACAAAATATTGCAAGTTAAAACTAAGCCCTAAAATGTAAGCCTCATGAAGGCAAAACTTATTTTCTGTCTTGTAACTATTGTGGCACGCTGTGTGATTAGTAGTTAGCGTACAATAGGTGCTCAATAAATACTTGTCGAATTGGTTATTAACGTGAGTATACTTTGGAAAGTTGAGTAAAAACAGGAATTTTTTTTAAGTCCATTTATTTATTTCTTCTATGAGAGCAAGGAACCCCCACGGGATATTCACACTGTGATTGATCTTCAGCGTCAACCTGCCCAGATCTCAGGCACACATGCGTACTCACAGGGAGACCTGGGATGCAAACCTGGGACGTTTCCACATAAGGTCAGTTTCACAGATTATTGCATCATCAGTGTTCTGAGAAGCTTGAATGGAAGGCCATTAAGCAACGACAAGGCAACCAAGGCAATGCCGCGTGCTGTCAGCTTTGGTCTGAGTGATCTCTGCCATCCACACAGGATAGTGAGAAGCATGAGCACAGGCAAAGGAATGTCTGAGTAAGATGTTAATCCACCTGTGGAGTCTTGAAGCTCAAGTGCACCAAGTCCAGTTAAGTCAGAGTAAATGTCCATCCCTTTGTCACTGTCTCCAGAATAACACAGGTAGCTGGAGAAAGGATGAATTATTATGACTGATTACCTCTCTTCCCACATCACCTGCTAACAGTGTGAGAGAAGCATGAGACCCCATATAGGGAAATAGCTGAGAAATGGACCACTTTCAACAGTTGTTTACCTCGACCAGCTCTACGCTTGGTTTTGTAGGATGTATACCACTAAATAATTGACCAACTTGAGAACTGTGACTACACAAACTTATGCTCTTGAGACACTGGCCTAGGCCTAGGGATGATGGGGTGGACAAGACACGAGCTCCCTGCCTGTAAAGAGGCAGACGAGCTCCGTGCCAGCAGCAGACATATAAACCAGCATAAAAGTAAGGCATGGGGAGGGGGTCCTGGCAAAGGTCACCTCTCAGGTGAGACCTGCAGAATGACTAGGGAGTTAGCCAAGTTAAGCAATTGGAGGCATGAGTCACACAGACAGCCCACACTCTGTCAGAGACGAGAGTGTGGCCTCCGGAGGCTCAGCACGTCCAAGAGACACTCGGAATCTGGATGGGAGTCAGGACAGCAGGTCGGAGGCTCAGCTCTGAATGAGACCGTGTTACCCACTCATTCTTTACACGTAGCACCTCTCTGAGGTTGAGAGTTACCTAAACCGAAACAGTTCTTTTCATATTTCTGAAGTACTAAAAATAAAGCAAGCAGATGCTTAGAAATATCTCCATTTAAGAGACCAGCACTTAGCGTAGTGGTTATGTCGCTGGACTCCCACATAGTCGACCGCAGTTCACATCCCGGACCCAGTGGTTTAAAACTCACGCTGGGTGCGTGAGCGTGCATGCCCAAGATCCCAAGAGGAGAATGGAGGAGAAGGGATTGCGGCGTGGCCACCCCCCCGGGGAGTGATTTCTTGCTTTCTGTCTCTCTGTCTGTCTGGCTGGCGAGTGCACACGCCCTATAGCAAAAACCTCTCCAAAAAAAAAAAGAAATATCTCCATTTAATAATGCCTCACTTTACAGAAGACAATATTACTGTAATAATTTTCTTAAGATTCAGTTTATAAAAAGTAATTCATTAGGTCAGTATAAAAGGAAAAGCTAGGAAAAGAGGCATAACTTCAAATTTCAATAGCAACTTTTTTCTACAGTTCTATAACTTTATATGTTACTGCACACATAATTTCACTTGGAGACATTAAAAAGGGTTCAAATATGAGGGTATTAGTTATTGTAAGATTCAAACTTTATTAATCTTCATTATAGCAACCAATTTATTCATGAGTTTAAAAAATATTTAATACACTGAGGAGGGTGAACACAGAGACCATGATGGAAAAATAAAACAAAAAACTAGTATGGCACTGACCATGTCCTGGTAGCACTGGGGGAAGATAGATCTTAAAGGAACATAAATAATTATATTCTTCCATATTATTTAAGTGTTTTGAAACAAAAAACAAATAATATGTAGGTCTCAACGTGCATAGCTACAGAAAAGGATTTGGGAGTGGTACATCTCTTTATCAACCTGAGGTTTGAAATATCATGAGCTCATGAGTCTGTGGAGACAAACCTCACAAGTTAGATGAAAGTCACAGGGCGATGGTTGCTGCGTCAGGACAGAGAGATTGCTCAAGAAACAGCACAGAGCTAGAAGCACTCGTTCAAGTCCTAGAAGTCTTAGACTAGAGAAACAGAAGTGGTAAACCTTTCTCTGTGGGCATCATGTCCAGAAAAGCTTAGGAACCAAGGGTACTTTGGAAGCTCTCATTTGCATCTCATAATCTCACAGATAAGAAAATTACACTCAGACTGGGAGGAGGCTAACAGACCTACCCAGGGAGGAATGTGAGCTGGAATCAGGAATGGCATTTTACAGAGCTGGATAGACTTGTTGATTTTCTAGAAATTCAGGTTAGCTGAGTCAGAAGTCTTTTCTCCAACCTAAGCGATGTGTTGATGCATGTAAATGTTTTTCTTCAGAGAGGCTAAACAGAGCAGGAGCAAAACAGTCTTGATCTTAGAAGTAACAAATTAAATACAAGAGAGATGGATGTATCTGCCCAATAACATTAGCAATAAACCAAAACTGAAAATAGAGAAGGGCTAAGGAGGAGGACACTTGTTTCCTACAATAGATTACAAAATTTATGCTCTAAGAGAAGGCAAGCTCCCTTGGAACAGAACTCCCCTCTACTGAGAAGAGCAGTTTTTCCTTGAAGTATAGCTTCTGTCTAGAAAGCAATTGCGGCGTGGCCACCCCCCCGGGGAGTGATTTCTTGCTTTCTGTCTCTCTGTCTGTCTGGCTGGCGAGTGCACACGCCCTATAGCAAAAACCTCTCCAAAAAAAAAAAGAAATATCTCCATTTAATAATGCCTCACTTTACAGAAGACAATATTACTGTAATAATTTTCTTAAGATTCAGTTTATAAAAAGTAATTCATTAGGTCAGTATAAAAGGAAAAGCTAGGAAAAGAGGCATAACTTCAAATTTCAATAGCAACTTTTTTCTACAGTTCTATAACTTTATATGTTACTGCACACATAATTTCACTTGGAGACATTAAAAAGGGTTCAAATATGAGGGTATTAGTTATTGTAAGATTCAAACTTTATTAATCTTCATTATAGCAACCAATTTATTCATGAGTTTAAAAAATATTTAATACACTGAGGAGGGTGAACACAGAGACCATGATGGAAAAATAAAACAAAAAACTAGTATGGCACTGACCATGTCCTGGTAGCACTGGGGGAAGATAGATCTTAAAGGAACATAAATAATTATATTCTTCCATATTATTTAAGTGTTTTGAAACAAAAAACAAATAATATGTAGGTCTCAACGTGCATAGCTACAGAAAAGGATTTGGGAGTGGTACATCTCTTTATCAACCTGAGGTTTGAAATATCATGAGCTCATGAGTCTGTGGAGACAAACCTCACAAGTTAGATGAAAGTCACAGGGCGATGGTTGCTGCGTCAGGACAGAGAGATTGCTCAAGAAACAGCACAGAGCTAGAAGCACTCGTTCAAGTCCTAGAAGTCTTAGACTAGAGAAACAGAAGTGGTAAACCTTTCTCTGTGGGCATCATGTCCAGAAAAGCTTAGGAACCAAGGGTACTTTGGAAGCTCTCATTTGCATCTCATAATCTCACAGATAAGAAAATTACACTCAGACTGGGAGGAGGCTAACAGACCTACCCAGGGAGGAATGTGAGCTGGAATCAGGAATGGCATTTTACAGAGCTGGATAGACTTGTTGATTTTCTAGAAATTCAGGTTAGCTGAGTCAGAAGTCTTTTCTCCAACCTAAGCGATGTGTTGATGCATGTAAATGTTTTTCTTCAGAGAGGCTAAACAGAGCAGGAGCAAAACAGTCTTGATCTTAGAAGTAACAAATTAAATACAAGAGAGATGGATGTATCTGCCCAATAACATTAGCAATAAACCAAAACTGAAAATAGAGAAGGGCTAAGGAGGAGGACACTTGTTTCCTACAATAGATTACAAAATTTATGCTCTAAGAGAAGGCAAGCTCCCTTGGAACAGAACTCCCCTCTACTGAGAAGAGCAGTTTTTCCTTGAAGTATAGCTTCTGTCTAGAAAGCATGAAAATATCTTATGTTTCTTTCCCTCCAGCCTGTCTGAACTGAATCTTGAGTCTTTAGCTTCTCGGAGCTGGATCTCTGGGAGAGGCTGAGAGCCAGTTTAAATGTAAGGCAGCACTCCAAGGAAGTTTCCTGACGCCCAGGCTAAAGGACAATCATGTGCACGTTCAGGAGAATGGAGAGAAGGAAGATTTGCTACTTCCCACTGATGTCAAGTATACACTTTGTTAATAACGCTCTGCTTGATAATAAAATGAAAGTTTGGAAGTAGGTTTGTTAATTAGGATTCTAAGTGTCTTTTAATTCTTTTTTGAGAGACAGAGAGACATAAAGCAAGAAATCACCTCCTGGGGGGGGATGGCCATGTCACAATCCCTACTCCTCCATTCTCCTCTCAAGATTTTGAGCACACATGCACACATGCCCAGCATGCGTTTCAAACCTCTGGGTCCAGGACTCAAACCACTTTGACTACGTGGGAGTTTAGTGACTTAACCGTTACACCATCTGCTGGTCCTAAGGATTCTAAGTGTCTTTTAATTTCTACTATTACTTTTTACTTTCCTCTTTACACTCTCCAAACATTCTTGGTCAAATAATTATCCCCAAACATACATGTTTTGACTATATATTTTCTGTTTCTTCTGCTTTATATTTATATCATTCCATTTTATAACAACAACAAGCCTGGACTAGCCAACGTTTTTCAAATTCCTTTTTTGAAAAAAGGTATGACACGGTTGTTACTATTTTCTACAAGATTCATGGGGCATGGTCAAGAGTTTGCCCTGGAATATATCTATATTCTTTAAAAACAAGTAAGTGAAGGACTATTAAAACATAATGTCTTTCATAGCAATTTAGAATTCTCAAGTTGCTGAGACCAGCAGCCAGCGTAATGGCTATGTCTCTGGACTCCCATGTAGTTGACCATGGTTCGAGTCCCAGACCTGGTGGCTGGAACCCACACAGGGCACATGTGCATGAGTGCCCAAAATCCCGAGAGGAGAATGGAGAAGAAGGGATTGTGGTGTGACCATTCCCCCAACGGGGTGGCTTCTCGCTTTCTGATTCTCTGTCTTTCTGGCGAGCGCATGTGCCCTTTAGAATAAAACCTCTCTGAAAAAAAAAAAAAAAAGAATTCTCAAGTTGT